CACAAAAAAACCCACAAAAAACCAAAAACCAAACCCAAAAAAAACCCACAAAAAACCCCACAAAAAACCAAAAACCAAACCCAAAAAAAACCCCAAAAAAACCCCAAAAACCCCAAAAACAACAACAAAACCCCCACAGGTTTTCCTTTGTACAGGCTGTATTTCCATTATCTAAACCAAATTACATGCATGGATGTCTGCACAGCCTTATTTCACTCCAACCTTAATTTTTTTTCCTCATGGTAGCATTTTAATTACAAATAACACAATCTTCTACCTTTCACCTTGGATTGCAGCAAGTTTAAACTTGGGAATTCAAGGAAGCATCACTGTTACTGCTGCTGGTAGATATTAATTGCAGTCAGGCTGATTAGTGAACACACTGCTTTTCCATTTCAGCACTGAAGGCAGACCAGGTTCAGAGCAGAGCAATGAATTCTATTGACAGAACTCTTCAACCCCAATTCTGTTACCTTATCACAGAATGTGATTATGAATATGATTGCTTCTGTAGTCATAGAATAGTTCGGGTTGGAAGGGACTTTAAAGATTACCAGTTTCAACCCCAGATGATCTAGTTCTGGCCCCATAATGAAAAGAACCCACTGCTTTTATGGGCAAGGTGTGGAAACAGCAAAAGCAGTGAGGAGGCAGGGGTGTGGGTTTGGGAGGCTCTCCCAAGCCTGGCCGGCTCGAAGCCAGCAGACACTGCAGGGCCCCGGGGTGCTGAACGCCAGGCACACATGGCACCTGAAGGAGCAGCTTGCCAAGCACACGTACCGTGAGAAACAGCAGAGGAGGATGTGGGATCCAAGATTCAGCACCCCCATAAACAACCAGCCTGTGCTGCAGCCTCCAAGAGTTTTATAACATTTCAGACACGCTGCCAGTGCCTGAGGAACAGGAAGCAGCCCAGAGCTATTCGTGGAGCTTGTTAAATGTACATAGCTGAAGCAGGGTTTAGACAAGTACTTCTCACAGAGCTGTCCAATACCAGAGCCAATAATGAGCACATTTGTTCGGTGATCTCTCGTTAAATATAATGAATATCAGGTATACTGTATCAAACTGCCGTGATTAATGAGGTTTTACTAAAATAGGTTTCTGCTAACTTTTGTTATTATTGGATCGTGCATACATTCACTGGAAAAAAATAAAGATTCTATCTTGGAATGCTGGATTTGCAGTGTAAAGTATTTTCATTGAATTTCTACTAAGAAATATTTTCTTCAATTCTGTTTTTTTCTTGTTAGAACAAACCAAGCCAACTTTCTTTAATATCTGACATACATCCAGATATGGATCTCAAAAGTAACTTGATTCCCTTTGGTAGGTGAACAAGTTGTTCAGTATACCCAGGACTACACCAACAACAATATACGTTTCCTTGTTGTGCCAATAAAAGCTTTAATTTGAAAAGGAGGTAGTTTTCATGCTTGGCTCTGACTGCTACTACCTCTGTTCAGGCAAAATTCTGTGTCTGAGAAGACTCGTTCAAGTGTGCTGCTGGTGAGGTCAGCTGCAGGACAAACACCTGCTCAGGCCCTGTTCTCTGCTGTTCCTCTTTCCCATGCAAGAAACAAACGCAATGCAGCACTTACCACCGACAGGAGCAAATTAAATTGCATTCTCTTTTTATTGAAGCACATTGTGTTTTGATCAGAGCATCCACTGAATCATGCCAATATGCTTTTTATAGCTTAAGCGTTTTCACATTTCTCAACAGTCTTTATAGTCCTTGCAGCTAACACCATTAGGATTGCAACACAGAATGTCTCAGATAATAATACATGGCTACTTTCATTGTAGATTGCAAGAATAAGGTGGCAAATGCTTTACCTTGTAGCTAAAAGTCCCATCTAGTCATGCCAGGGAAGGTCTCAAGTAGTGACTGTCATTTTTGCTTCTGCAACACTCAAGCTTTATTAGCATTACCTTTGATTATAAAATTATTTCTTATCAGAAAGGCAAATCTATCTTCCCTTGTAAACTCTTTTCATTACTGAGTAGGGCTGGGTTAAGCTGTAATATGAGAGGATTCAGGATATTCTAAATTTCTGTTAATGAAGTTTGAGATTCTCCCTTATTTTTCCATTTTTGGAACTTATTTGTGCAAAATGTATTTTCCATACCATTCTTTCTTATAAGATGGGAGAAGAACGTGAATTTTTAACTGCCAAAACCTCTCTCAAGTCTTAGCTGGTGGTGCAGTTTTATATGCAATTTTCTATTTTAAAGTGGATTCTTGTTCATCACATTTTGCTTTTCATTGCACATATAGTACAGGAGAATCTTAAAGCTTTTCCTTGACAATCCTTGGAATTAAACCTTAGAAAGAACAGAGAACTTGACTTCATTAAGGAAACGGCAGTGCCTGCCCTCTTGGAAGGACATACAGACAATTAAGACAGAAGATGAGCCCTAAGCATGCAGAAAGGAGAATGCACATGCAAGGGCTGCCTGCTATCAACATTTGCTCTGTCTGGAAGAATCAATTCATTTCAATAACTCTACTGACACAAAAAGATGATAACAGAAGCCCAGATGAATTAAGTGTTGTGCAAGGCAGTCTTGTAGTGGTAATTTTGGATGTCAAAAATTACTGTGATCTGAATCTTATACAACCTGACAGGCTTTTGCACCTACTGGCTTAGAGCAGGACCAGGTAATATTGTTTTAACCAATATTACCAGATAACCAGATAATATTGTTTTAACCAATACAGAAGACTTGCTGAGTAAGAGACCCAGACAACTTCAGGCAGGTTTTCAGATGTCCCAGCATTCAGCATATTCTTCCCTGTTTGAAAACACTATCATGCATTTTAAAAAATGTCAGGATGAGTTATTGCAGGAAAACATTCAAAATTATTGTTTTCATAGGTCAAATTATCTCAAGTACCTTAAATGTTCCCCTGCAGAGAGAATCTAATGCCCGAGCTCTCATGCACAGACAGTGCATGTGTTAATCCAACCCTCTGAATTTACTCACAGGCAGAATTAAATTTGAAGAATCAGACCTGAACATGTTATCTTTAAAAACAAGAAAATGTCTAAGAAAAAAAGCAGCACAGCAAGCAGAATATGCTGTCATCTAGAGCATGAACATTTGAATGATTCAGAATAATTTTAGTCCTCAATTCAATTTCATGCATAAGACAAGAACACTTACTTGCCATCTATTAAGGGAACACATATTTTTGTTCCACAGCTAGTCAAATCTTGAATTCCTGGATCCAATTTAAAGAACTAAGTCTTAATTCAAAATTTTCCCAGATCATGGATTAACTATGGTGATTTGGATGTGAAATTCTAATTCACGTACTAACCTTGAAATTCAGATTCAGACTTGTGCATAAAATAAATCTGCACCCTGAATTTGTGTTATCCCGTGCAGATGCATTTTATAAATTAAAATTTATTAATGGGATGGAGATGTTTGATAAATGACACCACAGCTTTGTGTCATTACCTACCTGCTCAGGGTTGGGGAGGAGGTATGGTGCCTGCCTCTCTAGTCAGCTGCATTAGAGCTACACAGTGTGATCCTTAAATTCAGAAATACCACAGAATGTTCCTATTAGTACTCATCTTATTGCAAGATTAGCTACAAATCTGTGCTGGTTAAAACTATGTACTGGCTACACAATTTAAAGCTACCCTATTAAAAAAAGAACTACATTAAATCAATGTCAAAGAAGATTTACACAGTTCCCACAGGAATTCCATTTATAGTCTAATTTTTCACAACCTAAATGAAATTAATTTTGTAGTCCCAATTTCATTTTAGGTTTACAGGTCAGTTTTGGCACCTACATCTAATGTAAGTAATACATTACATGAACTTCAGATGAATTAGAGGTGCTCGGCTAAAATTGTTAATGATCAGCAGCCCTGCTCACAAAACACAGAGGCACAATGAGAGCAGTGTAGGACCAGAGACTCCTGTGAAAACATCTATTACATTTCTCTCACGATGCTTTAAAAGAGGGCAGGGAGGGGAGAAACCCAAACCCTTCTGTAGAGTATTACAGCTGCAGGACAGAACATAAAACCAGAAGTGCAATTCAGGAAGGGTGGGCCCTTGCACATTTTGTTCAAATACCATGTTCTCCTTT